CGCACCCCGTATATCCGAGGTTCCGTTTGATTGGCTCGTTATGTCGTCGAATAACTATGCGGTGTATAATTGAATAAGAGGATGAAGTGTTTTCCTAACAAAAGAAACGAGCTGAAAAAAAAAAGGCATCAAAAGAACGAATTAACTTCTTGCGCCATCTTGGGCAAACGTTTTCAGCTGACATGAAGTGGAAAGAGTATATTGAATCTGTTGCTATATCTGCTGCTAGGAAAATCGTTTCAAGGTCTTGTTCTAGACAGTTTTTTTTTTCTCGCCAGAAACTTATACATTCGTAAGTATTACGTATTTCAGAATGTTATCTGCTGACATGAAATGGACGGATAATATTGAATCTGTTGCTAGAACGACTTCGAGGAATGTTGTTTCACGTTATCATACGACAATTTCTCTCGCCAGATAATTACATATTCATAAGTATTACGTACTTCAGAACATTATCTGCTGACATGAAACGGAATGATAATATTGAATCTGTTGCTAGAACAACTTCTAGGAATGTTGGTTCACGGTATCATACCACAATTTTTCTCGGCAGAAACTTACACATTCATAAGTATTACGTACTTCAGAACATTATCTGCTGACATGAAACGGAATGATAATATTGAATCTGTTACTAGAACGACTTCGAGGAATGTTGTTTCACGTTATCATACGACAATTTCTCTCGCCAGATAATTACATATTCATAAGTATTACGTATTTCAGAACATTATCTGCTGACATGAAATGGACGGATAATATTGAATCTGTTGCTAGAACGACTTCGAGGAATGTTGGTTCACCGTATCATACGACAATTTCTCTCGCCAGAATCTATCTTATACATTTTTAAATCTACCATTTGTCCATGCTATGGATATTCTGATATATCTGGTCTGGTGCTTTTGCTGCGATCCTTGATAAAAGAACATGCAGTTATTGATCTTGACCTGGCATCTCGGCTTCAGTCACACTCCCAGCGCCATAACGTATCATCCCTGTGTCTTTCTGTAAATACTTTCATGGGAACTATCCTAATGAACTTTCCGCTATGGTACCTCGACTTTGTGAATTTAAGTGTACTACTAGACTAGTGGCAAGATTTCCTCCTCTTACAGTTGAAATGGCTAGATGTGGCCGTAAGTTCTATGCTAACAGCTTTGTTCACTTGCATTTCTAACTTGTGAAACTCTCTTCCGGCTTTTGTTTTTCTGTCTTCTTAATTCCTGTTCTTTTATTGTTCTCTCTCCTTAATGTTTTCTTTTTCTAATAATATTTTACATTATGTAACACTTTGCGTCTCAGTGGCTTTATTGCCTTTCTTGGGGTGAAATGTTTAATAATAAAAAAAAAGATTTAAATAATCTAAGATATATACTCTTGCATGTCAAACATAAATTTGAACATTGTACGTGCGTGAATTGAATAAAGACTTCAATGGTTCGGGATTCCGTGAATTTTAGAGGCTCCCGAAGAAGGCCTGTAGTTATGACGGTCAAACATTGCAACCGGGGCCGGGTGAACTCTCTTAGTGCTTTTCTTATGATAACTTGAGATTTATATATCGTTATTTTTTTTTCTTTTCTTTGAGAGATGTTTGATAGCAAAACGTCTCTCTACAAAATTTTCTGATAGGATTTATCTCAGTCGTTTGTAGTTGAAAGGTTTTAACTTAAAAACCAAAAAATAAAAAAATAAAAATCAAGCGCAAAAATATTGCTGTATTTTATCTTTTTATTCTTTCTTTTTATTTATTTTTCTTCTTGGTTTCCCACAAAATAATATTAAAAAAAAAAGAAATAAACACAAAATTATTTCTTTTTCTTCTGAAATTCTTAACTCGCAGTTTCTTTAAACATGCCCAGCTTCGAAAAATTGTTTTAAGAAAAAGAAATAGACTCGTTAAATTAATTAATTTTACAAAAGATTTATAAACAAAAAGAATTATAGCCTGATCGGTTGCTAAGCTAATTTTGGCGGTAAAAAATGTAAGATGCAGACGATAGTCACATAAAAAAAAATCATCTCTTTCACTTCAAAAATTTAAATGCAAGGTCGATCGTCATCTTCCGTAAGCTTAATTCTTACATTGTTGTCTCTCTGTAATATTTTTTTCTCGGGTTTTTTCACACTCAGTAAGCCTTTGAGTCTTAGTAGCTTTATCGCCTTGCTTGGAGTGAAATGATTAAAAGAAAAAAACTACAGTCAGTCGATGAAGATTTTGTCAAACAGTATAGACATCTTGATCGTTTTAATCGTTTAACGATATTTTTGCCCGTACCGACGCAACTCCCTTGACCACTGAACATTTATATCCGCCTTTAAACATTCTTTTATTTTTAACCTTCCAGAGAACTCAAAACCAAAAGTGGACGGACAAAAACAGAGAAGGAATTTTGGCATTTTTCAATAACGCAGCAAATGGCTGAATCCAAAATAATTTCTTTTTTAAGTAACTCCTATTTATGCAAAATTCATGTCTTAAAACCAAGGATTTCTCCCAAGTTGCAGAAACACAGCAGCCTTAAAATATCTGTGCTTTTTATATCTGGCACCAAATATATTTGTGAATGTCTTCACGGTTCATAAGGCTTACGGCCATATCACTTCGAAACACGTGTTCTCGGGCGATCAGCGAAGTTAAGCAACGTCGAGGTTGGCCAATACCTAGATGGACAACCACTTCGAAATACCAGATACTGTAAGACTGAAGATGCAGTTTGTGTAATACATAATGGCTCAGATTTGTAAATCGGAGAAGACGAGTTCCAATTTCAGTCATGTTCATTATATACTGGTACGGGCAAATATTATTGAGAAATAAAAGATTCTTTCCCAGTGTTATATGCCTGTAAGAGAATATAATAATAATATTCTTCGAATCCACCTCTTCTCCTCAATCTGTGAGTTAATTAGTAGAAATTAATTCATTAAAAATCATTATTATCTCCAAAAAAATTATTACAATTTTAAAATACTTCCTTCATTCAAATAACCTACAAAAGGTTGATAAACCGTAACAAACAAATCAATCAATCACGGTAACTGATTCCGGCGAATTTTTAAATCGTTATTCTTAAAGGAAATTCTCCCATCAAAATATTCGAAAGTAACTAACAATAAAGGGTTATTGAGGCACGTTTATGTGGTGTAATGGTTAGCAAGCTTGTCTCACTAGATCAATTATGACTGAGTAGTGATTACGAGCCTCACTGTGTTTCCCATACTCAAGCTACTCAAAGAATATCATAGGACACTTCGACGTAGTGTAATCGTTATCAAGATTGTCTCGCCAGATCAATTACGACTGAGTAGGAAGTTTGCTTCTCACTGGGTGCCCCACACTTTCGGCCTTGTGCCACACCTAATCTACGCTTAGAATATCATAGGACACATCTAGGTAGTGTAATGGTTAGCAAGCTTGTTTCGCTAGATCAATTACGACTGAGTAGTGAGTTCGATCCTCACTGGGGGGCCCATACTTTCGGCCTTTTTCCACACCTAATATACGCTTAGAATATCATAGGACACATCGAGGTAGTGTAATGGTTAGCAAGCTTGTCTCACTAGATCAATTACGACTTAGTAGTGAGTTCGAACCGCACTTATGCCATATCTAATCTACACTCTAGAAAACCAGCATTGTAGCGTGTTACTGAATGAAGTTTGCAATAGGAACTGTCGATTAGTTGTCCTACAGACATTGGAGGTTACTCCAAGGAAGCGTACGAAAATTGTAACTCTTCGGAAACGCACTGGCAAGCCTTAACAGTTAACAAATAAAAGTACTATTAACAGGCTTGGAAACTCTCCTGATTTAAATCCAATCGGGAACCTGTGGTCAATCTGCATAGAACGACTTTGTGGAATGGACATACGAAGTACTAACATGTGCACTGGGTTGTTTTATTGGAAAAATACGAAAAGAAAGTAAATAATAACGGAATTATTCGTTTTGTTTCAATTAATTTGCACGCGGGTGTATGTTAGAAAAGTAGTACATAAGTACCTGTGGAATCGATGGTTTTACACCCGTCATTTATTCAATTCTGTGTACATGTTTGCGTAGCGTCCGGCGCCAATGCCAACGCTGTATCACGTTCCTGTTGTTTTTTGTTAAGTTGACTTATTTTTATTCTCATTTTTCTTTCGTTGTTCGTCTATTTTAAGTCCAGCTTCTTACCCGATCAATGCTTGAAATGAATTGCTTTTCAAATAAGTCAGCGCCACAAATGGAATCCTTTTTTAAAGCTGCTCATGGCCAATTCCGAATTCCCTGGAAAGTGAAAGTGAAAGTAGAAAATTACATAACTGGCCTATTCCATAGACATGTTCCTATGTGCATTCATAACTACAGGCATGCATACATGGTTAAGTAAATAAAGAATAAGTAACCTTTCTAAAAGCAACGTGTACATATATATCAAAGCCAGAAAATGGAGACCTGACATCTACCCAACAAGTGAAAAAAAGCTATGCATTATACCGTTTGGCAAAAAAGATAGTGATGAAGTTTAACAAATAGCGAAACAAATTTATAAAGGTTTTACTACTTGTTCTTTATTTAATACAAAACATAGATAGTATCGACAATTTCTCTCTGTACACCACACTCTCTCTCTCACTCTCTCTTTCACTCTCTCTCTCTCTCTATATATATATATATATACTTCATAGTTTTGTTACATAGCATTGACCAATGTATTTCTAACACCTGAGGAAGAAATATATTTATATGTATGTGCAAATATATGTGCGTATATATATTACCCATACCTATATATATATATATATATATATATATATATATATATATATATATATATATATATATATATATATATATATATATCTGTGTGTGTATATAGGGATGGGTAATACATATAGACACGAGTTGGCAAACACCATATATATATATATATATATATGTGTGTGTGTGCTTTCTGTTATTTTCAACACTTTGTTCACTCTCTTATTGACAGTGTATCATATTCAAATCACATGAATGTTACCTTATTTGCCTGAACAATTTTGTCTGGCGAACGGTGAATTCGTTCAGTTTTCATTGATATAGATAGATAGATAGATAGATAGATAGATAGATAGATAGATAGATAAACGTTATTTTTACTGGATACAGAGATAGATAGATAGATAGATAGATAGATAGATAGATAGATAGATAGATAGATAGATAGATTGAGATATATAGAAAGAAAAAAATGAGATATATACAGATTGTAAGATAGATAAATATAAAATGATTGAGATATATAAAAAAGAAAGAAAAGCAGATTGAGATAGATAGATAGATAGATAGATAGATAGAACCAAATCGAAAGATAGATAGATGTAAAGAAAGAAACACTGAGAAAGAATTCTCCAATGTATTCGTTCCATCTTTGAGGAATTTTCTGTCTTGCTATTATGAATGATTGTCTGAATTTCTGGACTGAGAATTTATAATCACACACTTGATTTACACTATTTATGCTCGAACTATTGTCTTCCTTTTTGCTGTTTTTATCACAACAATTCGACCGTTATGCGCTCAGGCCTTCCTCGGATGCATATCGATTTGGGTAATCTAAAGGAAATTCTGAACTGAATTCTTCATTTAATCTACGTAGGTTGACTGTTCGCGTTTCATGCCTTATTTTTTTTAGCACTATTGCTTGCTCGTTTCCACAAAATACAAGGATATTCAGCCTAACCAGAGATTGAATTGAACACCATCTTATCACCGAATTCACAAACCAACATTTTCAGCCACTCAGCTCCACAGCTATACACAATCTTAAAACTTGAAACCTAATCTTCGCTGCTGATTAGGCTGCTACTGACACTGCTACTGTTGGCTGTCATGTTTTGAGTTCTGCTGCTGCGGTTAGAATGTTCCCTCTTTTGTTGATGTGCACATCTTTTGTCCTGTTAATTCCCTTATTTATTTTTCATTTCTGTCTTTTCTATGATGCTCATTCTTCTAATATCTGCACACTTTCCGTTGAGTCTTTCCTCTTTTGCCTGCCAGTATTTGTTTCTACATGTGGGGCTCCTATAACCCTTGGGTCTTGTGATCGCGATTTGTTTCTAATTTCATTATCTAATGTTCAATAATCTACGCCATTCATTGGCACTGTTTGCTGTCTCTTTTTCATCACCTCCAGAATTTTATCTATCATTTTTCCTTTTTGTTTTGGTAAATTCTTCTTGGTATGATCTCGTTTGGTAGTATTAATTTGGCTTCTTTTAATGTTTACCTTGAATTCCCAGCCTCGTTCAATTTATTATACAGTAGAATCTCTCATATCCGGAATCCCTCTTATCCGGACACGATTTTGATGTGCATATTTGAACTATTTGGGTGATATGTAACTGATTTGAAATTTCTTTTTTTCAGGAAATTTACTTTGGATAATTGCTTATGATTATTTTACCCTAATGATGATGGGAATAAGAGGAAAAGAACAACTTTGGAGTTATCGCAAAAAGTGGAAATTTTAAACAGACTAGACTCTGGTGAAAGTTCATTGGAACTAATCGCCGAGTTCAACATAGGAAAGTCAACATTGTAGGTTATAAAATCTTCCAAAGAAACCATTCTTCAGCGTTCACACTGTCACAATGAACAAAGCAATAAAAACATAATGGGGATGAACCTCATCTTTGTTGCCATATTTATTACAACGTTTCGGCCGTTGTACGCTCCGGTCTTCTTCACGTGGCTGGAATGTCGAATTGAACCCTTTATTTTACTCACTGGAGTAGACAGTTCTAGTTCCACGTGCCATGTCTAATGGATGTCAGTTATCAGTTATTTCCTGTTAATTCCCCTCTCCAAGTTCTCCACCGCCTTAACCAGGTATTGAACTCACACTCTTTGGGTCCTGTGACTGGATCTAACTAAAGACTTTATCCACTGTGCCATGTGTCAATCCATTACCCCACCGTTCCTCCTCCCCAATCTGGTACTGCGCTTAAATTCATAAAGCCAAGGTACCATAGCGGTAACTTCATCCGAACAATTACCATGAGCGTATTTATAGAAAATCTACAGGGAAGATATGTTACGGTGATAGGAAATCAGAACAATCTAATCAGACACCTGAAGGATTCAATAGCCAAAAAGAGTATAAAATCCAAGATGACCATGGTTGTTTGAATACAAAGACAGATTGGTGATAATAAGTCCTTATTTAGAAAAGGATGCAAAGAGTTACTGAAAGTGAAATTAACAAAAATGTCAATAAAAAAACAAGATTCAATCAGAACAGATGATGACAAATGATATTGCAGTTTGTTTGGAAAATAATGTCCGATTTGGGAATGTATTTAAACAGTATTTAAATCGGTGAAAATAAGAAGCCTGAACATCTAGACATTTCTACTATCGAGTTTCCAGGTGCCTGGTGTACTTTGTAACTGTTGAGCACTTTATTCAATTCATGGGGTTAGGGTGTTCCCATTTCTCATTGCCGAAGTATAGCTCCTCTCTGCCTTTTCTATAAATACTTTCATGGTAATTGTTCTGGTGAACTTTCCTTCGTAGTACCTCATCATCATCATCAGGACGAGAATTCTCGGATTCTCCTGAATCGTTCCTTCCAATCATCTCTGTCAAACATCACTAGACAGCATGTCCTTCAGATGACATCCACCGTCATCTACAAGTTGGTCAATGTTCTCCTGTTCCTTCCAACCATTTGTCAGACATCGCTGTCGGCAGATCCTTCAGATGGCATCCAGAGTCATCCGCAAATATTTGTCCAGTAGTGTGTAGTTTCGCGTAAATCCAATGTTTTCAGAGATTGGTCATTTGGTCCGTCCTGCGTGTTTTCCAATGTTTCCGGAGATTGTTCATTTTTCTCAGTAACGCGTATTTTCCAGTGATTCTGAAAATTTAACATTTGGCATGTTCCATGTATTTTTCAATGTTTCCGAGTCTGTTTCCGCGTATTTTTCATATGCTATCGTGATTGGTCACTGTTTTCTATTGTTTTCAGCGATATTTTCATTGGCCTTTCAAGTAAAATGTATAAATATGAAAAAATTACTGTCAAAATATTCGAAACACCAAATCCCGAAAATTATAAAAATAGACAAATTAAGTACCTATAAATATAGCATACTTTAAAACTATAATTTTACAATATATATATATATATATATATATATATATGGGTGGGGGGAACACTCTCTAGAACCAAATAATTTCCACATATTATTCAAAGGAATTAATGTTTAGGTGTTATGAGGTCTTCCAACCGATCTTTTGCCGCGCAATGGGTTACATAAGATGTCATTCCCATATTCTGATTTACTTCTTCAGAAGGGAGCAGCTAGCCGAAACTTTCTCTTTCTTAGCAAAACTCAGATAGCAAGAAGATGTACATACATGCGTTTCTCTGTTGGGTGTTTCTTCCAGCTGATTCCAATGCATCTCGTAACATCCTTGTATATGTTCCATCAAGGGATGCTTCTTGGTGTTTCGTCAATGTCCATGGTGTTGAGACAGATTCTTCCGTGACCTTAAAGAAGTCCTTCTTAAGATTGTCAAAGAGAGAAAACTTTCAGATAGTGTTCAGACCATCAAGGACCCCCCTCCCAAGGTTAACAAATTCCTGGACGGATTTGATATTGTTGCCGTTTTTCAACTTAATTCTCCTTTATGGTTGTAGCTGATACATTTTGTTTTGCCAGCATTAATGTAGAAACCAATTCCGCTGGCCGCTTCTTCGATGAAATGGAGAAGTTTGGTAGCCTTATCACTCGGAACTGAAAAGGCAAGGTCATCTGCGTAATCCACATCTATTATTGTTTTTGCTGGTGCCTAGACTTTAAATTTAAGAGCAGTACTACATTGGCAACGAGGACTCCTCAATCTAGAGTTTATGTATGCCTTTACGAGACAACTCTAAAGGTTTCGAAGCCAAGCAACTGTTGAATGCTTTTGCAGCATCTCCTTTGCAACGGTATGTCTTTTGGCTTAGAAAATTTTTCAAGATGCTTGAAAAGTGGGCGATGGATCAGGGGGATATGGTGGACGTGGCAAAGTCTTGTATCCTACCTGGATGAATGTCTGCAGTGTTTTCCAGGCAACATGTGGCTGAGAATTTTCAGGAAGCATAATTGGACCTCATCGATTATCCAATGCCGGTCGCATTTTGCTTAACTGAAGGTGCATTTCATCCAGTTGTTGGCAATAAACATCGGCAGTGATGATGCAATGCTTAGATTCTTAGATTCTTAGATTACAGAATATCGTAATTCATAACTCCAATGTCGGACCTCCACACAAAATAATCTTCTGTTAGTGGAATTTCGGTTTTGGAAAGTTTTAGGTCCTTAGTCCTGGTTAAAGCATGGAGCTGTTTGTTTACTATTGTCATAAAGGACTAATTTCTAATCACAAGTCACTATTCGATCAAGAAATGGATCATTCGAATTTCACAGATGCAGCATTGTACGCATTTCAAAACGTCGAATTTTGACTTTCACTTTCACTTTCACTTACATGTGGAATCCATCTATCGAGTCTGTCACCTTGACAATTTTCTTGAGACGGTCCGATATTTTTTAAATAATGGCACTCATTATATGAAACATTTCCCTGACATTTTAACGTCTGTTCTGTTCGACTAGTGTTTTCAAATGCTGATTGTCATTTTACAGATGGGCGTCCTCTACCAACTTGATCTCCAAGGCTCTTCACTGCGGAACTTCAGAAACCAGGGACGTACTGTCCGATCACAAGTGGATCATTTACCCTATACTCTGTTAATGTTGGCAGCAGTTTACAAAGCATTATGCTTAGGTTTGAACTCATACAAAAAACGTAAACGCATCTCTTGTTTTTTTAATCATAAAGATGAGAGGTATATAACCTTTTAAATTAAATTCTGCAAGAAATTGATATAAAAGTAACAAAGAGAGAACTTTAATCATTAGACTTATGTAATATATTCTTGTGCAACTATTATAATGTACAATTAAATGGCTTATTCTAAAATCGGACATCATTTTCAGAAAAAAAAACTAATAGCAGAAAAATACTTTATGAATTCCAATCGTCTGAATATAAAATAATGAAATATACATCGAAATTATTATCGAAACAAGTGCATATTTGTCTGATTGTCTCCGTATGTATTATTGGATTAATTATTCCTAAGAATGTTTTAGTTAAGTGTCGAAACGCAATAAACAGATATTTAAATAATGTAATATGTTTCCATTTTGACTTCATATTTACATAAAAGCTTAAGCTGTGGATGTAGATTCTATGAAATATATTAAGCTAAGGAAATCTTGTAAAACCTATATTTCGTATTTGCAGTAATTTTGATGCATATGACTATTTAAATAAG